TTCTTCCTTTTTTTGGGTTGCGGGGGTCACTGGTGCCCATATGCAGCAATCACTGTGCAAGAGGTGGAGGACACCCTGGATCGTTCTCTTGCCCATCACAGGGACACATTAAGACAAACGAGACAAACAACCATTCACTCTCTCACCCACACCTAGGGACAATTTACAGTTACCAATCAGCCTAAGATGTATGTTTTTGGTCTGTGGGAGGAAACTGGAGCACCTGGAGAAAATCTACGCATGCACGGAGAGAACATGCAAACTCCACCCTGAAAAAAAAAAAAAGACCCCCGGTCAGGATTTGATCAGGCGACCTTCTCGCTGCGAGGCAGCAGCTCTATAAACTGATCCCCCGTGCCGTCCCTATAGAGAAACTCATTCTAAAGAAACTGAATGTTAATACACATTAGAGCATATCATTGGCACATCTTTAATTTCCACATGAAACTTGGCAAACATAACCACTTTATTGGGATTAAAAGGCTGTGAAGAATGTCGATTAAAGAAATGACAGGACTTTTGAGACTGATTTATGTAAATGGGTACAGTAGGGCAGTCCCAAGAGTGTCATGGGTGATATGCCCTCCCATGTCTAACATGGAAAAAAAGGGCCTTCTCCAACTCCACTCCTGGAACACCATGCAAAAAGATCAGACGCTCTCGACCTTGATCTGTGGCTTCAAACATCTGCTAAGGTCCTGGCAAAAACCAATGCAGACATGTTCCTGTCTTTAGGATTCTACATCGCTTTACAACCTAGCTGTTTTTGTTTTGTTTTGTTTAAATACCATTTTCTTCAATTTGTTCTTCTCAATTTGTATGCTTTCTTTTATGATTATCTATTGTTGTTTTTGTTGTCTACTGTCGTCATCATACTTTGTTAAAATCAGGTCTCTCTTGTAAATGAGTCCTCGAGGCTCAGTGGGACTAACCTGTATAACTAAAGGTTGAATGAAAAAAAAATGTAGTTATGGAGGGCAATGAGTGTTTGTTAGTTTTATAAGAGGAGTCCCAACCGCTAAGTGATCCTGCAATTTCCCAGAGTAACTGTGGAGTCACCGGAGCAACTGCTGAAACGCTGGCACCACGGTTCAAAATGAAGCACCCCTCGGCACACAGATCCCCCATAGCCCCCACCATCAGTCTACTCATGACAGGTCAGCAGATCTCAGGAGACTCTCGCACAAAAGACAGAAAACCATCTGCCAACTCTGAACTGATTTATTTTATATTTAAGGTTCACTTTTGAAGAGCAAGCGATCCGAGTGACAAAATGATAAAAGGCGAGGATTGGGTTCTTTGAGAAAACTATAAAGAGCACAGAGGATTTAAGTTATAGGTCAGGTTTATTTGCTCAAGCAAGCATAGAAACTTTTGTCTGAATTAGTGGAAATTTAAATAAATGTTACGTTTTCGAGTCACCTTTTTAATTCACATCCACACAAATCAAAACTGAATAAAAACAATACATGAAGATAAGTGACCAAACTAATATCCATAAATTATATTTGTTTGAAAGATATTTTAAATAAAGAACTGTGATTCATGATATTATGCTAACAAGCGGGGGGTTCTCCAACAGTAAATGGTCATGTTGTGCGCATCATGTACAAAGAGGAGAATGTGTTCTGAATGAATCCCAGCTACAGCAGATTTTATTGCAATATCTGTACAATCAACTGGATTATTTCCTGAAAGGTTTTTAGTTTAAATTGTCCAGTCGTGTATGTGATATTTTACTAACCGATAGACAAGTTTTAAATACGATCTCTCACAATCAGTAGTATTTGAAATGTGTGTTGGGATCAGTCTCAGTTACCACCACATCAAATGTTAGCTCAGTATCTGTCAAACTGACCACATTACCACCATGTTGTGTTTTCTAAGGTGGATTAGCTGCAGCAAACATCTTGAATCAACTTGACTCCACAATCAGTTGTGGATTTCAATCTAATCTGCTAATTGCTTTATTAGATATTTTGCTAACAGTGCAGCAAACAACCACACGTCACCTTTGATGGTGGGTCATAAAAATGGAAGAAATTTGAGTACAACTGCACACAGACAAATCTGTTTATTAATTTACATTTCTGGGATGGCACGATGGGGCAGTTGGTAGAGCTGTTCTCTCTCAGTGAGAAGGTCGCCGGTTCAATCCCGGCCTGAGACCTTTCTGGGTGGAGTTTGTATGTTCTCTCCGTGCATGCGTGGGTTTTCTCCGGGTACTCCGGTTTCCTCCCACAGACCAAAAACATGCATGTTAGGCTGATTGGTAACTATAAATTGTCTCTGGGTGTGAGTGAGAGAGTGAATGGTTGTTTGTCTCGTTTGTCTTTATGTGTCCCTGTGATGGACTGGAGACCTGTCCAGGGTGTCCCCCCCTCTCGCACAGTGGCTGCTGGACATGGACACCGGCGACCCCCGTGACCCGAACAGAAAAAAGCAATTAAAGATAATGGATTAATGTAATTTACATATCTCCTAATAAGATTTATTTTATTTTACTGATGATTACCAACTGCGGACGCCAACACAAATATGACAAAAACGACTGTTAACGTTGTTTCAAATAAAAAATAAATAAAAACAACAATCCATGCTTAAACGCTGGTTGTTTGAAACGTAGAGAAGGAGATGGCGTTTCCATCATTATTGCAGAGAAACTAACTAACGTCAGTAAATTCAGAACAAACAATCTACTTTAAGAAGTTCGAAGTTCAATAAAAACGCAAGGTTGGGCTTAGAAATGGCTGAAAATGTTTCAAATGCATTCTGCTTGTACAGATGACAGACCTGCTGTGCTTCATAAAAAATGCACTATTTTTTCACATGTGAAATGATCTGTCAGTTGGTAGAAAGTTACAGAACATGAAGCACAGTTGGTTCTCTTGTTGATGCTGTTTTATTATAAAACTGCACAAAATGACAAGAAGGCAGAAGAGGCTAAAAGAGATTTCAGCCTTCTCCATCAACCTGCAGCTAGATGAGGACTACAGCTATAGGTATAACCAGTGATAAGTGCTCACTCTTCCTTCACCCAGCCTAGTGGAAATCTCCATAATTCATTAAATTTAACTTCATGCTTAGCTGAGAAAGCACTAAAAAGATGGACAAGTTTGTTGCTTAACTTTAGTACTTGGGCTAGACTTTTCATGTAAATGTAAATTGTGGTTTTGGGATGAAGACAAAATGGAAGAAAGATGACCTGAGCCAGGAGCATATCTGACCGTGGAGCCATTAAGAGTTCAGGAAAATGATCAGGGTGTGATGGAAGGAAGTCTAGAGGGGAAATAAAAGGTGCACTTTGATAACAGGTTTTTAAAAAAAAGGATAGAAAAAGAACAGAGCAGATAAAAGGTGCAGGTTTGCTTTGCCTCTTGAATTTGCATTCCCTAGTCTTGGAGTCTTGATATCCAGGTTGATATTTTTATATATATATTTTTTTCCTTTGGCAGGCCTTCAAACCTGGAGGGACCCAGCTAAATGTGGAACACACATTAGCAATGTGCCTAGACAGTTGGATTGTGCTGCTCCCTCATTGGATGAAAAATATAATCAGGATGCCAGACAGTCACAGCAGAGCGGGAGCGTTCTCTCCTTTCGCTCTCCGCTCCCCTCCTTCCACTTGGGTTTCGTCACCCGCCCGACTCTGCTGCAAACAGCACACCTGCTGGTTTCACGGTCCATCTGGCCCAGCACCATCACTTGCTCAGCTCTGAGCAGAAATGCAGGTCTACAACCTGGGCGCACAGTCACACAACCCTGCAGCTACTGCATCTATCTCACACTCATTCACTGGGGGATAAGATGGAACAACATAACCTGTTAATGGAACAAATATCAGTGACAAGAATAATTTACGTTGTTAATATGTCATTATTGAAGTCTTAAGACATGTTCTTGACTGTATTCTCCAAGGATTTCCTCTTTTTATAAAAAATGGAACTATTTTTTCTTGTAACTGGTGACAGGCCCTCTCTCCTGCTTTTAATCAAATCAAAGCTGAAGCTGCACGACTGTCAAAGCAAGGCTGTTAGAAATGAGACAAAGGAGTCAAGTGACACGTTTTAACACGAGCGCCTTGGCTCGTTTTAAGTTTCAAAGCAACACACCTCAGCTGATAGTTGTTCCGTGTCACAAGAAATGCTTTTTCTTTCTTGTTCGTTTAAAAGGAGAAAGGTAAGCGATTGTGTAATTGCGCGCATCTGTGCACGTTCGTTTTTATGTGTGTTGCCAAAATATTCCACGAACCATTGGATGAGTTTTATTCAAACTTATATAGCAGTTATTTGGTGTACCTCTACCTTTTTTAGTGAACCTTATTCAAGATGGCCTACACAGCCAACTGACCCTAGAAATAGAACATGGCTATAATTCTTACATATGTTGAGCTAAATATTGATGCTGAGAGACATTCAGAGCACAGCCTTTTAGAAATTAAACCAATGAGACATATTTGTTTGCAGCTATTCTAAACTATGCAGTTTGATGTGATTTTTCTATAAATTTTACTTTATATTTACAACTAAATGTCTTCTAAAACATTCTACGTCATATTTGTTTACCTAGACAACAGCTAGACTAATGTAGGTCACCTGACTTAAGCTTCTACCAGATTCAGCTGGTTGCTTTGTTTACATTGAGTGCAGACCCACATTTCAGAATTGCTTATCACTATACTTGTAAAACTACAAAAGTAAACTTTTTCCGATATAGATCACCTTAGGTTTTGTTTTACAGTTTGCAATGAGTAGCTTTAAGTCAAAGTGGCTTTTTTTTTTTGTATTTTATCAAGTAAATGCTTATTTTTTTCTCATGTTTTAATGATGAATAAAAGAATAATAGAAAAATACATCTCCATGACGCAGATTTGTACAAATAGTATTCACTACTCTGCCCAGACATCCCAGCTGGTCCGCGTTTAGGCACAGATCCAGTGTTCAGACTCAAACGCAACGCAGCGGTGCGTTCACTTCTCTGCGGTCCGACAGGTGACTAACCTGAATGGTGCACGTGTACTCCGTATCGTCCAGCAGTCTGACCGTGCAGTTGTATTCCCGCTCAAGATTCCTGACGCTGCTACTCATGAATCGGCTCAACATCTTCTCTCTCGCGCTCTCGTCTACAGGACCAGAACAATACTCAACACCAGAGCCTGCAAGTGAACGTCACATTGACCGCTCCGGTTCCCCCGAACAACCAGCAGCCACGGATTCAGCCGCCGAGACGTCCACCATCGTTGTCCCGATAAGTTTCCGCTCTCTGTGGCTCCGTGTTGAGCGCAGGAGAACCCGAGGATGCCCGCATCCAGACCCAGAGGCAGGTCGGCGGCGCTGCGTTTGTGTCCGTGATCGACAGAGGAGTTATCTCTCACCATTCACCGCCGCCGCTTCAGCTCGGTGGGCGGGGCTTGTCGAAGACTGGCGTCGTAATGAGCCAACGGGCGCGCGAGGCGCCGTGTGTGTGATTTTAGGATTCTTTCCAACCCGACGCAATGGTTTCTGCTCCTCACACGTCTGATCAGATAGATCTCAGTACGCTCTCTAATACACGCGGGTCTTTAAAAGTTCAACTCGAAAAATAAAATGCTGCATGACTGCTGAAGTTTGTCAAAGAAGCTAAAACTGAGTTGAAGCTAAAAGTTAAAAACGTTGAATCCTAGATGATTGAGAAAAGCACTAGCCAAAAGCTTCAAGTAGCAAAATGCAAGCTAAAAGAAGCAACTCATTAGTTACAAATTAAAAGTAACTCAACCTCAAATGTGTTTGCACATATAAAACAGTGCTTAGCAATAACTTCAATCCCACTGGTTAAATGGTCATCATTAACTTCACGTAGACTCTCTCACAGGTACATTTTCATCTTTAGTTTATGTCTTTTGCCTTCATACATCTCCTACACGTCGCTGCATGAGTGCAGCTACAGCATGTACTTTCAGGACATTATTACCTGCAGTGTTCCCTCAGTACAGACTGAAATAGGCAAACAGGTCTTCTACTTAGCTCCTGTATCCTGGAACACCTTGCAAAAAGATCCAAAGCTCTCGACCTTGACGTCTCTAAGTGGCTTCAAACATCTGCTAAATTCATGGCAAAAACCAGTGCAGACATGTTCTTGTTTTTAATTGTTTGTTTTTTTCATTCAACCTTTATTTATGCAGTTTAATCCCGTTGAACCTTGGGGACTCATTTACAAGTGAGACCTGAACATTTTATTAAGATATATTTATAAGATTTTATATCACTTTATAATGTAGCTGTTTTTGTTTTGTTTTTTAATTTTCTTTCATTTGTTCTTCTTAATTTATACGCTGTCTTTTATGATTGTCTGCTGTTGTCTTTGTTGTTGTCATCACTCTTTGTTAAAAACAGGTCTCCCTTGTAAATGAGTTCCCGAGGCTCATCTTGAATGAAAAACGCAATAAATTAAATAAAAATAATAATGAGATGTACATAAAAGCATCAAAATAAAAACATCCATCCATCCATCCTTCTTCCATTTTTGGGGTCACGGGGGTCGCTGGTGCCCATGTCCAGCAATCACTGTGCAAGGGGCGGGGTGCACCCTGGACAGGTCGCAAGTCCATCACAAAAAATAAAAACATAACACAAAAACAATGAGAATCAATGAAATACTAAATCCAATCATACCATGTATGTGCTGCTCCTTCATTGGATGAAAAATATAATCAGGATGCCAGTACAGTCTGTCAGTGAATACATGTGTGTTTTAGGAGAGATTTAAAAGCAGGGACTGAAGTGGCCTGTCTAATGTTGAGGGGCAGATTGCTCCATTGTTTAGGGCCCATGACTGAAAAAGCCCAATCTCCTCTGAGCTTAAGCCTTGCTTTTGGTACAGTACAACCGAAAGCAGCTGGTCAGATGATCTCAGCAACCAAGATGGGACATATGGTTGAAGTGGTTGAAGTAGGTCAGAGAAGTATGAGGGTACAAGGCCATTTAAGCACTCAAATGTCAACAGGAGAATTTTAAAATCAATTCTGACATGCACAGGGAGCCAGTGAAGGGAAGACAAAACTGGTCAATTTTTGTTAATAGTTTCCGTTCATAACCGAGCTGCAGCATTTTAAACGAACTGGAGACGTGAAAGGGATGCCTTGGCTAACCACAAGTAGTCTAGCTGGGTTGTAACGAATGCATCGACTAAGTCCATGCTCAATAATCCAGGTGACAGGTATACAATCCAACATGTTGGATTGTATACCTGGATTATTGAGCATGGACTTTGTTGTTTTCAACCAGTTTGACATAACTGTCAACAAGGAAGAGGGCCAGCAATGGAGGAAGGGGCATGACAAAGAGACCATCTTAGCACCAACATAACTGGTTTGTTCCACTTTGGAGTAAGCTGTTGGGGGAAGAATCAGTTTTGTGTGTTTCCTTGACTGATGAAGCCTTCCGGATCAAAGGCGAAACGTTTCAGCACAAAAAAAAAGAAACCGTCCAGAAGACCTGACTGAAAAATGTTGGAATGCATGGATGATTTTTTTCAAGGTCATATCTGGTCAACACAAACTTAAGCTTAGCTATCTGCCTTAGCTGGAATAATCTATTTTGTAGAACAGAGTTAATATGTTTATTAAACTTCAAGTCAGAGTCTAAAACCATCCCAATTTGTAACAGACTGCTTAAGATATGGCTCAAGGGAGTCATGGATAACAGGAAGAGAGACAGCAGTAGAGCTGCTAAACACAATGACTTCAGTTTTCTGATTATTGAAACTTAAAAAGTTTGAAGCCATCCATGCCTTAATGTCATCAAGACATTTTAACAGAGGGTGGATTGTGCACGAACTATTTGGTTTTAAGAGCAGATAAATCTGACAATCATCAGCATAGCAATGAAACGAAAGACCAAGTTTCCTCAGGATAGACCCCAAGGGGAGCAGATACAATGAAAACAGAAGGGGTCCAAGAATAGAGCCTTACGGGACCCCACAGGAAAGAGGCACTGAAGCAGATAAACTATTACCAACCTTAACACAAAAACTCCTGCCGCTCAGATAAAAACTGAACCATTCTAATTCTGCACCAGTAATCCCAACCCAGTGTTCTAACCGTGAGAAAAGGTAGCAAAGGACATAGCTAAATGTATCAAAAAAGTTAACTAAATGATCTAAAACATTATCTCAAAGGGAAAAGTTACTAAATTCTAGCTAAACATTGCAAAAAGACTAGCTAAAAGCAGCAAATGATTGTTTTAAGTAGCATAAGTGTAGTAGCTAAAGTCACATAGAGTTATGGATCAATCCTGACATTTCTACTCAGTTTATGATATAAGGAGTAACATCAAATTAAATAAATTCAAAACAAACAACTGGCTTTCGTAATAAACTCAAAACCCTCTCCAGATTGACCTAAAATAATGACTTCAGGTGTCTGTCAGCACTTCATATTCTTGTTTCTGTCTCACAGTGAGGCAATTAAATGTGTTGTGCTGCCACCTGCAGGTCCTGTGTCCAGATTACGTTTGACTGGTACTCCACTAATTAACATCCTCATAAAACTGTCAAGGTTCATGCTACTTATTATTCTGTATTATTTATTATGTTCATTATACGTTGCTTGACTGTGCAAACGATGCATTATTATTTAAATGTCAGCTTGCGTTAATAATTGTTTAATGTGTACTTAGGCTTTTTATTTTATTTTTTACCTTTTCTTTTCTACCAAAAGGCGTGTAACACGAGAAATGCCTAAACAGTTAAAATAGCATTTTCCTGTCGTGTTTGATAATCTGATTTTTGAAAATTACGTCATTCACAGTGAAAACGCAATTTGCTTGGTGAGACACTATTAAAAATTGTATTACCCGGAGTAACATGGAAACACTTTTTAAAATCGATTTAAATTTCTGCAAAAAAAAAAAAAAAAAAAAAAAAAAAAAGAAGAAAGAATCAAAAGGATGACACCGTTGGTAAGTCACCCTGCCGTGACCCGGATTCGAACCGGGGTTGCTGCGGCCACAACGCAGAGTACTAACCACTATACGATCACGGCGAGCTACCAGGGGGTGGTGGCCAGTAAGTGAAAATTTTTTATATATTAAAACAAGACGTGCGAAAGAACCAGTTTAATTTTAATGATCAAAAAAAGGTTAAAAACAATAAAAGAATTGATGGTAGATCTAAAAAAAAAACATCTGACCTCGTGAAAAAATTAACTGCAAACGATAATTGGTAGTTCTCAAAAGAAACAGGGCTTTAATTGTAACCATGGCTACTTGTGTTTATTTATTTATCTTTTTGCTGTAATTTAATAGTAATTTGTCTTGATTGAGGTTTTGCTAACGGTGAAACAGGACATTTGTAGACCGTGTGCTGCACTTTGTCACTGACACGTCATGTACAAACAAATTGTAAGGCTAAAAAGTTCAATCTGGTCCTCTGGACATTCAAAACAAAACAAAAAACAATGTACTTTTTTTTTTTTTTTTTTTTTTGAATGTCCAGAGGACCAGATTGAACTTTTTTAGCCTTTTCTACCTGGATTATTGAGCATGCACCAGGATAAATTGTAAAAGTGTTTTTGATTTAGGACAGTTCCCAAGTTGAGGTCTAGGACCCCAGTTGGTAACTTTACAATTGAGGCCTCAATAAAAACTATGGAAATCCAATAAACTTGAAAACTGTTAATGTGATGGTTAGCCTTAATTGTTACAAAGAAATAACAATAATACATATTATTGAAAAAAAGACAAATGCTGGACAAGGCTTTTATGGCCAATTGTTCATTGTAAACTTTAGCTAAATTGTTGAGTGACAAGCTTCTTCAGCTTCTATTTTGTGGGTCAACAGCTATAACTTTGTGAATAACTGCTGTACAGAATGATGCACCTATGTACTATTACCATTTATAAATTGAACATATAACTGAAAAAATAAAACAACTGTTTTCAAAGACACATTTAAAATGTGATTATTCGAAGGTCAGGTTTTGTGCTAAAATTTGGTGCTCATCTGTCGTTTCCATACACACACACAAAGTTACAGGTTAATTATGTTTTGTGCTAAAAGACAAACTGCTGGTATGGGCTTTTATGTTCTTAAAGTCGCAAATTCAAAAGCCAGGTTCCAATCGACAAAAAAACACCTTAATTGATTTGTATTTCTTTTGTTTGGCAGAAGCTGAGCAGGAAGAAAAGCATATTCAATAATCCAGCTTATCCTTAAGTATCAAAAAAGGCAACATTTTCTATCTACAGGTAGAGGATCAATCACACCTTTAGATGTATTTCATAAATCTAATCAATTGGTTTTTAAAATATAAACATTTCATATTCCCACAAAACTTACAAAAATTAAATCCTCCCTTTATAAACGTATACTTCAAGACCAAAAAATCAGTTGCTGCTTGTGAGCTTGACATCAACGGTAAGAAACTATGACAAAATATTTTAATTTCCAAGCAATTATCAAAACACAATTTCTGCATCACTGTGAACAAACAGTTGATTACGGTAAATAAAGAGTTTGCATCTTTGTAAAAAAAACAAATAATTACACAATTGGTCTTAGGTTTAAACAATGCAGTATTTTCGCAAACTTTCTAATAAACTGATAAGAAAAATTCCTTATCAGATAAATTATTGATAGTACTATCATCTATAGGCCAGCCAGCTTGCCTTTGAAGTGTCAAATAATTTTTCTAAAGTAATATGCTCTTTCAAATAAGCCCACCGCAGTGTATTTTAGTTTGGAGCTGGGAAGAGTGGTGTGAACACTAGACACTTTACACTTAATCGTTATTATCATCAATATTGTTGTCAATTACAGACAAGATTCATGATCAAATACTGTAAAAATATCACATTTGTTTAAGGTAAAAAGACAATTTTCACAGTTCATTCTCATCATTCTCTTCAGGTTCGTTGCTTCGTACAGATGCAGTTTTCGCATCATAAAATGCCTTTCTAGTGTGACATGGACGAGCCGGAGTCTGGTGCCGCTGTGATGCGCTGCTGGAAATGTTGCCCATACTTTGAACTGAAGTACTGTCTTGTCTCTTGGTAGTTTGAGTCCTCTTGTACAGTTTACAAGATGCCACCAGGGGTTTTCCTATATCCATGTGTTGACTTTCAGTGTGGCGCAGGTTATTGTCTGTGTGAGTATAATGTAGATCCACCTTGAGGACCACTGACTCCTAACAAAAGCAAATGGCAAAGAAAATGCAATTATTGTAAAGAACTCAGATGCAGATATGAGTTATAAATTAAAAGCATACCTTAAGTTTCTGAAGAGAACAAAGTCTAAGAGTACAGTCTGGATTCTCTGAGGCGTTAAGCAGCAGTGAGTCCATCTCTTCTGATCGGCCAGGTCTGGAAAATATGTCTTCCGTTGGCTAAGGAGTCAAAGCAAAAGATTGGCATGCTTCATCAAAATAAATTAACACTTCTTTTATTTACAACGTTGGGTTTTATATTCACAATCATAAATCAACCACAGGGTGTCAGTAGGACTCCTGTATCGCCCAAGAGAAGCACAATTTCACTTGTATTTCCTGCTTTGTCACTGGTTGCAATCTGCAGGAAGTCCATATATGGAGTGAACTTCCTTAGCCATGTTAAGCAAGGGTGTGGTGGTCAATGCTGCCACTGGCTAATGGAAACTCACTGCATTCCAATTTGAGCAGCGTGGAATTTATGACGTAGATACAACTATCAGGTTTTACACCTAATAATAACTTAAGGAAGTATTTACAAGAAAAAAAAGCTTCAGTTTTGCAGAAGGAAGTTATGTGCAAGCTAAAAAGGTGGCATTTCTTCACAACTTTTGTTTCTGCTTTTAATCCCCTTTTTAAAAACTTATTTTGTTGTTGACATCATTTGTGTCGATGTGTTGCCCATTTGGATCATGCATCATGACAGAATGTATTTTAGTTTAAGCAAAGCTAAATACTTACAGGTGTGCTACTTAGAGTGACGGTGCAGTCCTGGGTATGGTCGCCCACAGTCTTTAAAGTAGCAAAAGCTACCAAGACGTTAGAGAACAAAGCTGAAAAGCTAACTTCCACTTCCACTCCGCAAAGGAACCTCAGCAGCTTTTTGCGTGGCAACTCTAAAAAACAAACAAAAATATATATTTTACAAAGCACAGTAAAGAGTCTCATTTAGATTTTTCCTCTTTTACATATTTATAGAGAATGAGTTGTTCATTTTACAGTCACTAAATAACCTCAGAAAAATTCCAGCCATTGATTGTACTTAAAACTACAAGATTCTATGTAAACTAACATGAGAAAATTAACTCTGATCACTCCACAACGTCAAGATTAAATTTTAGAATGGCTAATAAAGTTGATTTGAAGAAGTTTAATCTGGTAAAAATAGCTTCTTTTCAAACAGAAAAAAATCACTTTGCACAACGAGCTTCAGTTCCCTATTTCGAGTTATTAAAAAACAATGACTTAACATCTTTTGAATGATACTGAAAACATCCCCTCAAACTGCAGTGTCTATAAATTATTTGCACAAGTTATGCTGTAAGAGACGTGAAGATCACTGAACTGAACAGAATTTCCTTTTTCAGCTCAGGGGGGCTGTAAATAAATGAGACTAAATTGTGTTTGATGGAAATTTAACTGTATTTGGTGTACTTTGTATATCTACACATCACATCAGTAGGTTTTTTTTCTTCTTCCCACAGGAACATAAAGCAGGAAAAAGATGCATTGTAGGCTGTGGGAAATTCTGCCTACTCACCATTTGCTTGTCTCCAGCAGATATTGCGTAGGTGCAGTTCCTTTGTGTGGCCAGAAGTTCGAACCGCATCAGTGAGGGATCGAGGTTCTTTCATGGTGTGTTTAATTTCCACTGCCTGCTTGCCTTTAACGAGGGGATCTTTGCCAAGTTCTAGTGGCGAGAAAAGGAAGAAAGTGCAAACAAACATTTAAAACTACAACTCCTTGTACAAACGCTCAGGTCTGCTCTGAACGCTTTGGAGAATTTGGAGTCAGCCTCCCAGCATCAGACATCTACACCTCCAGATGCAGGAAGAGGTCCACCTGCATCATGAAGGACCCCACTCACCCAGCACACACACTTTTTACCGCGCTCCCCTCAGGAAGGAGGTTAAGGAGCATTAAGTGTAGAACCACTAGACTGAGGAACAGCTTCTACCCTGAAGCTGTTAGACTCATGAATATTTAACAAGGATAATCACTGTGGAAGGAAAAAAAAATCACTGTAATGCCACTTGATTATTGATATGTGCTGCTGATCTCATGCTGCTGATTTATTCCATGTTGCTGTGTTAATTCGTACTCATCTGCTCACACACACACACTCATGTTCGTGCTGCTGTTCGATGTATTGTTTTTGTACTACTAGTGCTTAGTGCATTTTTAGTTTCATGTTTTTCTTAGTTCATATCTTAGATCTTATTACCGTTTTTCTTTACAATTTATATTTTTGTTGGATGTAACTGGGACCCTGTGTACACAATTTCGTTCCACCAGATGTACCACATGTATGACAAATAAAGAAACTTTGACTTCGAATATCACTTTCAGATACAGTAGCTGTACACTTTTCAGTTCCTAATTTTATGTATACCTCTTTCAATCATCTGAGTTTTGCAAAAACAGAGTGAAGAACGAGCGCATTGTTAAACAAAACACAAACATTCAACGGATGCACGTGACGAAAATTAAGGAACTTGGGGAAAGTTTAACAATGTATGTAATTTTCTAAGTAACAGCTGAAACATTTTTTTGTGGGGACTGGAGGAACAAAGGACTTCAAAAGAATCAAAACTTATTCAAATTCCTGACAGTCATTAAAAACAGAATACAAAACAAGTTGTCACTTTAAAAACATTGGCGCTTTGCTTTTGGTATAATAGAACTAAAATATTTTATGGCAATTGATACTTACTGCCAATTAAGCAACAACTACCGGTAATCACTGCCTGCAGTGCGGCTTCAACTGATAAAATCTGTTTTGAAATATCTACCGTAATAAAGGAATTGTCCATTTGTTCACCAAGTAAATCCTCATGGATTTAGGCACAGCATGCTGTCAGTAGGGGGGCTTGTCGTACTGACACTGATTTGTGAGCGACCCCATGAGAGCAAAGCCGGGTGGTGGGGGGACGTCAGAGCAGCTGTCTTGCTCTCTGCAGTTCTCGGGTTTCTTGCTGTTCTCAAGCCAACAGCGTGAATTTCCGAAGAATGAGGTCACATGCTAAGGTACCAAGAAAATGTATTTCCCCAGACACCACCATAAAGACAAACAAGCTTTCAAGACAGGAGAACTTGATAACCTCAAATCACAACTCAGCCACCAGTGTCTGTCCAAACACCTTACAAACAACATTAAAATGAGAAGGCAATATAAAACTCGTCTGTGCTCCATCGAACACACCAAAGAACAACCTGTTCCTTCCAGCTCCGCTTATCATGAAGTAACGTTCAGAAAATAAAAATAGAGATCAAAAGCAGCCAAGGAATTATTAACAAGTTCACACTGAGCCTTATATACAACATTCAAATGCTAATGATTTTAAGAGGAAGTTTTCACCTGCACTACACAAATCTGTTGTTTTTGTACAAATCTAAAAAAAAAAAAAAGAACACACATTACATCTGTTGCTGCAGCCATAATAGATTAGATCCCGGACAATATGTACAATTTCGTTATCAAAGTCAAATAGATCCTTACCCTCAGACACTTTTTCTAAGACATGTGTGACTTTGTCCTGCTGTAGGATATGTTTGTTCAGGTACTTTGTAAAAATTCCTGAACTCCTGCCCCCATCCTGGACCTCATACGCCTCCGCATCCTCACATCTGAAAGAGTCCGTGAAGGAAACGTCAAGCAAACAAACGCTCATCACTAAAAAGATCTTAACTTTCAATCATGCATCGTGTTGAGTAAATAAAATAATGCTTGTTTCGAAAATGCCTTTTCAGTTTTACCGAAACGTTAAATTTAAAAATATACTTACGTGCCGTAACCATACACAGTGTTCCCTTTTGGTCCCAGCGGCTCAATAAATGATGGTAAGTGATGCTGGTTGTACCTAAAGAACATATTTCTTACTTAAATGCATTTTAATAGTTTATTTTTGCATTTGTAAAAGCTTCCCATACATCATTTTTTTGTTAAAAAGCAAATAAACTAAACAGAAATTGCTTTGACTTACCATTTTCTGCACGTGTCCAGCAGGATGACACTCAGTGCAGTCTGCCTTTCTTGCATTTTGTACATAACCCTCTGCACACAGACACAGTTTTTGGTTTGGTACGACTGTGGAGCGTCAACGGCAATTAAGTAATTCCTCCCAGCGTGCTCGTACCCGTGACCCGCATAGTAGAAAATTCCTGTCGGGCACAAATTGTAAGACAAAAAAAAATTTGCTTTGCAGAGGTTCAACAAAATGGGTTGAACGAGAAGTAAACACAGGTGAAGCAAAAACATGCCTTATTGCTTTTAAGGTAAATTGTTGTTCAGATTATTTGAAATACATCTCTTTTTGTTTAGATATTACTAAGACATAAAGGAGAATAGCAACTGATAGTATCGTTCTGATGCAGCCTGAATGCCTTCTTTAAAATAATCTGCTGTTTAGTTATAGAAGAGGCTTACGTCCTCTGAGCTGTGTGACTAGAGGTTAAAGATAAACACTGTACATATTTACTTACATGTGAAACTGGCCTATAGCTTTGTGGACTTTTTGTCTGATTATTTTAGTCACACATGAACTCTTTCCTTCTTATTTGTCCACTTATATCTAGAAACCAATCAAGAGTTTAGGAACTATGAAAAACAAACGATAATTGACGGAGAACAAAAAAAGAGAAGTTGCAAGCAGAAATTCACAGAACAAAAACTACATTTTTACCATAAGAAAATAGCTATTTTTAAAAAAAAAAAAAAAAGGTAAAACACTCACCATAAACGCCTCTGTCTAAGAGCTGAATGAACTCGTCGATTGCAGCGAGCATCTCCTCTCTAGTGAGATCCAGCAAGGAAACGACTCTGAAGCCAAGCTGCTGCAACAGGTTGGCCAGCTCATGCACGTCCACAATGGGTGCCATTAAACTGGGATAGTTGGAGTAATTCAGGTTGCCAATAAGAAGGGCGACTTTATCAGTGGCTGAAGGAAAGAAAAAGAAAATTACTTCATGATGCAAAAGTTTACCAAGATTTCTGTTTTTGTTTTAACTGTACCTGTGAGTGCTGGAGGAGGAAGCTGGTTCGGTTGCACTAAAGGGCATAAAAAGAGGCACAAAGTTATCATTTGACAACAAAATCTGAATTAACATAACAGCATCTGCCTTATGGGCACTTTCAGGTAAATACAACTCTGACTTTTTTGGTGAAAATCACTGCATTAATCACAACACAGATTAAAACGCTGTAAAATATAGTTTCGCTTTGCATCACTTTCCTGTTGTGTGTCTAAGGCTCAGACTATTTGGAGTCTAACAACTTCCTTTTCAGTCTTTAGAAATGGGGAAAGTACCCTCAGCACAGTGGAAACAACTAAAAGCCTCCCAGCTAAAATCAGTGGAATGAAAGGTGTGAAAAAAAATCTAATTTTCTTTACACCCAAGAGGAAAAGACAACGCTAAAATGTGCAAAACCGATTATTTACAATTCTACTTTAGGACTTACCAACGTGCACATCGACTGGCTCAGTCCATCTCTCCTCTAACACATTAGAGATAGAGCACAGGTAGGATCCTCCATGTTCAGCTGTCACATCATTAATCTGCAAGTATGATAGACCTTTACTGCAAATCTTAGTTTTGGTGAAATATTAACCAAGTATTTTAATCTAATTATACTACTATCAGCTGTAAGGTAAATAAACGCTTGCTTACCTGCAGCACGTCACTCATCTTGTCCAGCAGCGGTTGTCCATTTCTGTACCACTGGTAGCGTGGAGCTGGGATGCCAAAGGCAGCACAGCAGAGAGCAAGTTTCCCACCTTGTTTCAGTGTCTGCGGTTTGGGGTTGACGGCGATGTGCGGCTCGCCCTGCCAGTCGGTCGGCAAGCCTAAATAAAACGAAGCGGGAATTTAAAATGCGCAGTGATAAACTTGCATTAAAAAAGGATTTATTGTCGGATGAGCCCAGCGAAAAACAATTCTGTAAACACTAATGAGCATTTTAAACAACCGACATGCAAGAATGTCCCGTTTACCTGATTTATTAGTGTCCAGCACCTTCACCTTCACCCACTCGCTGAAGGCGCAGTTGTTGAAGTGGTCATTCACTCGGCAGACGAAGCGCTGAGTTTTTACAGCTTTTAAAGTCAAGTCAGACTGAGCACCGCCAGGTACCTTGGGGAGGGAAAGGAACTCTTAAGTGAACACAGTTGCGTGTTGAAATGCATCACCTTTTCAGAAGAAGTAAAGCAACAACATTATGTTTGACACCACAAACAGTACGCCATTAAATACGACTGTATTATTTTTGTACTTTAATAGGATCCACACACTTCTACATAATTTTCCTTCTCCTTCTCCAAGAACCACTGGTAGTTCAGGATGCCTTTCCCCTCAGCTAGGACACTCAGAGTCACCTTGTAGTTGACAGGTACACACACCGAGACAGGATGGCGCACAATGACTAGTTCTGAAACAAACAAACAAACAAACGAATAAATAAAGAGAATCACAGTCATCTGAAATAAACCTGACTTTAAAAACAAGAAGCCCTGATGTAAGCTCAATAATCCAGATAAATAAATCACAAAAAAAGGATAAACATCTGTCTAGATGAAATGTTTTTATTTTTGTAAAAAAAGATTATATAAAATAGATTAGATTAGATTAGATTAGATTAGATTAGATAAGATAAGATAAGATAAGATAAGATAAGATAAGATAAATAGATAGATAGATAGATAGATAGATAGATAGATAGATAGA